GGAAAACCTTGTTTGATCAGAAGTTAGCTGCCGATTGGCTGCAGCAGTGATCAGTGTATTTGAGAGGGTAGGATCCTGCATCTACCTCACTTGTGTGGATGCAGGATTCTGTAGGATACTTTTTTTTTTTTTTTTTTTTGTGTGTCTCGTGGTAGCAACCGCTTCTTCAAAACATTAAACCCAAGTATAACCTGTATCCATCAAACCTCAAGAACTAAAAAAAACTATTGTAAACATATGTATACATGCATAGGTACATCATCACAAGAAAATTATATAGGGATGCACGGATACTGTTTTTTTGTTAATTGACGAGTACCGATACTTTCGGTCAAGTACTTGTCGATATACAGTACCGATACTTTGTGGTGCGATTTGCGTTAATGGACTCAAATTGCACTGCAAAGAATAGCATGCAACTTGAACAAGAATGTGACTCTGATCTAAAGTGCATGCGGTTTCCTCACTGCTCCTGTGTGAACCCAGGATTGTCATAGACTGAGTTCACCCAGGAGCAGTGTGGGAAACGTCCCTGCAGGCATCTCATGCTGAGTGTCAGTGGTAGGAGAGTAGAGAAAGCAGTGAGGATTAGAAATCCTCGCCGCTTTCTTTCCTCTACTTGCAGTGATGATAGTTCAGGCTAGACCGCATCTGATTGGCCAATTCTAACAAAGTGGAAGCAACTGGGAACAGCAACTCAGCCACAAAGTGGTATGCCGCGTAAAATGACTGAGCTGAATCCGCGCATGCTGAAGTGCACAGGAGTCGCCAACTGTCTGCAGAGTCAATAGCTAAAGACCTGCCAACTTCATGTGGCCTTCAGATTAGCACAACAACAGTGCGTAGAGATCTTCATGGAATGGGTTTTCATGGCCGAGCAGCTGTATTCAAGCCTTACATCACCAAGTGCAATGCAAAACGTTGGATGCAGTGGTGTAAAGCACGCTGCCACTGGACTTTAGAGTAGTGGAGACGTGTTCTCTGGAATGACGAATCATGCTTCTCTGTCTGGAAATCTGATGGACGCGTCTGGGTTTGGCGGTTGCCAGGAGAATGGTACTTGCCTGACTGCATTGTGCCAAGTGTAAAGTTTGGTGGAGGGGGGATTATGGTGTGGGGTTGTTTTTCAAGGATTGGGTTTGGCCCCTTAGTTCCATTGAAGGGAACTCTTAAGGTATCAGCATACATTTTGGACAATTTCATGCTCCCAATTTTGTGGGAACAGTTTGGGAATAGCCCCTTCCTGTTCCAACATGACAGCGCACCAGTGCACAAAGCATGGTCCATAAAGACATGGGTGAGCGAGTTTGGGGTGGAGGAACTTGACTGGCCTGCACAGAGTCCTGACCTCAAACTGATAGAACACATTTGGGATAAATTAGAGCGGAGACTGCGAGCCAGGCCTTTCTCGTCTGACATTAGTGCCTGACCTCACAAATGCGCTTCTCGAAGAATGGTCAAACATTCCCATAGACACACTCCTAAACCTTCTGGACCGTCTTCCCCTGAAGAGTTGAAGCTGTTATAGCTGCAAAGGGTGGGCCAACTCAATATTGAACCCTACAGACTAAGACTGGGATGCCATTAAAGTTCATGTGCGTGTAAAGGCAGGCATCCCAATAAGTTTGTCAATATAGTGCATATACAAACCAATATTTTTACTGGCCCTGACCAAAAAGTGTTAAGAGAATAAATCAACACAAAAAAAAGTATCAAACTTTTATATCTCAACCCACAAGAGAAACTTACAAAAAGAATGTGAATAGGGCCAAGATACAATCGTATCCATCCGGGCCGTGGGTAGGCATAGACCAAATTCTCAGACCCTCTAGGTCTAAAACTAATATAATACAGATTAATTAAAAAAACATATGATAGACAAGTGGGATAGAACCCTCCAACGTTAACCCCCAACTGTTTACGTATATGTCACTTGATCTAGTACTATAAACTCACACCATACTCACTCCGGTGCAGGGTGCAGTTAAAATCAGCTGTTCGGAGACCAGAAACAACCAAATGGATGGATTAATAATGTTTCCTCACATCCTCAGATGAAGGGAGGAAATTAGATGGAACACAGACCAGGTGCCAATATTGTTGATGTAATCCAATATTGAATATAGATAAATATTTCTTTGAAGTATGTATTCTATCCCTTCTACGGAGTCAATACAACACAATAAGGGCCAATTAACAAACTGTTGCATACCAATAATAGTATAAATTACCAGTGTGGCCTTTTTAACATACCAGTCATCAGAAGGTTCTCAATTCAGAAAACCAGTACTCTCACGTGCCCTCAGATGAAGGGGAGAAGTTAGATGAACCACAGACCATATGCCAGTATGGAAGATATAGTCCAAATATTGAAGGCAACTAATTATTCCTTAGATGTATTTTGTCCCCTCTACAAAGTCAACATAACACAAAAAGGGCTGATTAGCAAACCAGACCATCGCAGATCAGTAGTAGTATAATTTACCAGTATGGTCTGTTTAACCTACCAATGATCGTAAAGTTCTCAAAGCAGACAAGCAGTATCCTCGTGTGCTGCCAGGAATAAAGAGGAAGAGCTCTGACCTGCCAATCCATCTTATAGTCTTTGGGCCTCCTGAGGATTCACCCATAAACATCTTCAGTCCAAGTTTAATCCAGTAAAAAATACCACATTTTCAGGGGTTGTAGCCATCCAACAGAGGGGTAAGGACTAGGGTAGCCCACTCCCCAATGGGGAGGCTCCCTCACATATGATGCCCATACAGTTTAACAAGATCCCAGATAAGGAAAACATCAGATTACCTCATTACTTTGCCCTGACCATGCGCCACAGGCAGTTGCCTTTCCAAAATGGCCGCTACTCCTGAAATTATATCGCACAGTTGCGCAATGGCGTCATGACGCACATAACCGTGCCAGCAGCAACTTTCCATTCTCAGGAACACACAAGGGGTGGAAACCAGCCAATCAAAGGAAATATCCCCACTATCCAAATAGGGAAAAGGCAATAGTTGTCCAGCCAGGAGCCCATATATTTTGTCCAAAGGGGACACAGCCCGAGCAAAGACAAGGCGCCTTGATAGCCCTATCCAACAACATAACATTATAACCAGATAAGAAACCAAACAATCAAAAACAGTGCAGGAACTAACCATACTTGATAAAGTTAACCAAACCAAGAAGCAAAAAAAAAAACCCAATATAAACTTATTGATTTCCCTCTCCCACAACCCTCAGGGCTCAGTCTAAATTGAATTCCAAGCTCAATAGCAAAATGGCAGGATCTCAATACCTAATTTTAGATTAATTTTATACCCATGTAGGGACAAACAGGGACACCAGTGGCTTGACTCAGCCAATCATGTCTGTCATCAATAGAGCAAAGCTAATAGTCATTTAATCCAGGAGCAGTTGTAGCACCCAGCTTGTAAATCCACTTTGGCTCCATTTGTAGGGGTGTGGAAATTAAAAAAAAAAAAAAAACTACTTGTCAAAGAGACTAAATTGTAGGGGGTCCCAATCTACTTGTCCCTTATGTTGATCTACTTGTCCTAACAGTCAGGAAAGGGGAGTGTTAGGCTCTTTAAATGCTCAGCAGAAGCGCATCTGCTGAGCGAGTAAATGAGGCATTTGCCCCAGTGAGAGAGAGAGAGGGGGGGAAATCTTTATTCTGTCAGGTTATACTTGCACATGGAATCACTTACAAAAGGACAATACAATATAAAATAGTGTAGTGCTACATACAATAAATATATACCAGTATAACATAAATAGTGACTAAAATGGACCAAATAAAGTGACCTATGGAGAGGTGATATAATAATAAATGTGAACCCAATCCCTGTAGGGATACAACCACAAATAACGTGACCCGTGGTACCCAATAAACTGGGACACAAACCTATATTGATGTAAACTATATTGCATAAATAATGTGAATCCCTATTGAGGGATAAAAAAACACTCTGTGCTCAAAATAGTAAAAGACACTCTGGTAATAAACAAAAATATTAATACTATACGTGAAAAAATGATTACAACAAAGGTACCATAGTGCAAAGTCCAATTTCTGTGAAACCAAAAAACAAGGTGCTTCACTCCTTCTGGTCATGCAACATATACATTTTGGATGCACAACACACCCATAAGTGATCCTAAAATGGCTGCAATGGCCTCTCACCTCCGCTCGGCGACCCCACAGGGCCGTAACATACCTGACTGTATGGCCAGGTGGAGTGTGGGTAGCAGTGCCAGCAGTAGGTCTGTCCACATTGTACCATCACTGGGTCTTGTAGGAAAGCCGCCGCATCCTGGACACACCAGCTTGGCCCTGTTCCCTGTGTAGCATGAAGATCTGTATCCCCTGCAGCTACTGACTGAGTGTCACGTACCTGGTTGGGGAGCCTGAAGTGGAGAGAGGGCGTCCTCTTACAACTCCTGCTCGGTGCCTCTGGAAGTGGGAACAGGGGCGCAAAGCCAGGAGTGGCAGGAGTGCCGTGTACATTCTGAAGCTGTTGGCAGGTAGCTGGGGACCCAGGGGATCCGGACACAAGCCAGGGGTGGGTGCAGGAACGTAGGTGCAGCAGCGAGCAGGTGAGGCGGCAGTCAGGATGCGGGTCTTGGGACCGAGCACCGGTGCGTGGATGTGGTGGCTGACAGGTATGGCGGTGATCCGGATGCAGGCCAGATGCAGAGCCGTGGATGCAGCGGTAGGTGAATTTGGTAGCCGACAAGATGCAGGTCAGGTTCAGGCAGGATAATATAGCAGAGTCAGCCAAGCCAGGTCAGTATCAAGTGGGCAGATAAGTACAAAAGGAGCAAGCAAGAGAATGGTCAGGGATAGCCGAGGTCAGTGCAGGTGGAGTTCTTTCTTAGTCGGGTAATGCAGAATACAGGTATCAGGAATGTATGCAGGAACGTAGTAGACCAGAAGGCAGTGATTTTACTACTAAGCAGGTTTAACCTCCCTAGTGGTATTCCCGAGTGTAGCTCGGTGTAAAATGTCAGTGCCAAAGCGGTAACCCCGAGCTACACTCGGGCTTACCATGCGGCGCTGCATAGGGAGTCCCTGCAGAGCTTACCTTGTCCTTCGCTCCCGCGATGTGTCCCCTGCAGCGTCCCTGGCCATCTCCTCCGGCCGATGCCGGCATCCAGCTTCTGTGTTCTGGTCCCTGTGACGTCGGGACGTACAGGCACCTCCGGCGGTGGGAAATTTTGAAAATTTTAAAAAATTTCATTTTTTTCATAGTAAAACATTGGTGTTTCAACCCATTTCACATACATATTGTCCCTAGTGCTTTGTCCTGTGCCCTGCCTGCATTTTGTCTGTTCTTTCTGCCTGGAAACTGAGAAACGTCCATGGCGTCCAAAAAGTGTCCCTCTTAGGTCAAAAGCGGGTTTAGATCAGCTAGAGAACAGCGATAGAAAATCAGAACCACTTGCAGAATTGAGTGATAATGATTCGTGGGGAAAATTTGTCATCAGACACTGAAACCGATTTTGCGACTTTGCTCAGCAATTACAAACTTGATGCTCTATTTCAAATTTCAGTGTTTTCGGTTTGATTATATTATTGAATTAAATGTATTATTATTATAATATTATTTTTTATGATTATTAAATTATAATTTATGATTTCGTGTTTCAAATTTTATCATACCCGGGGATGTTTAATAGACAGTGAGTTATTCCTAAAAATTACAGCCTACAATAAAAAACTACATATTTCCATGCAAAATAATGGTACCCGCTTTCAGCACCAAAAATCTGAAATAATCATACCGCTAGGGAGGTTAAATAGCCCTCCTGACATGACGTGTGCACTTACTGCGCATGCGCGAGTTTTCCGTGCTACTGGGCATGCGCGGGCCGCACGCTCCTACGCACTCGCACCGCCGCAGCTCGAGGGGATCCGTCGCACCGCTGCACAGCAACAGGATCCCTGACGGTGCCCCCCTAAGGGCAGCCTCCGGATGCCCAACTGGGCCATCTTCTCTGGATGCCTGCGCTTAAATGCCTCGATTAACTCTTTGGCATGGATGTTAGACTCTGGCTCCCAAGAATTATATTCAAGACCATACCCTTTCCATTTATTCAGATATTGGAGTTGGTTCCTCCTCCTTCCTGCAGTTAACAATGGTTTCAATTTCATATTCTTCTTCGCCGTCGACGATTACTGGTTCGGGCGGCCCATTCCCCGTCCTGGGAAGGGGTTAGAGGGTGCAGTCTTGAGTAGTGACACATGGAATACAGGATGAATCTTTAGGGAATCTGGTAATATGAGCTCATATGCTACATCATTGATTCTCCTCTTTACAGGAAAAGGACCCACGAATTTTGGGCCTAACTTCTTTGAGGGACAGGTTAATCTTAGATTGGCTGTTGACAGCCATGGACCAGGACCAGTTTCTCCTTTCCTCTTCCTGTCAAAGAACTTCTTATTATCCAGCTGAGCCTTTGAGATTGTTTCCTGTAGTGTTTTGTTATTCTGTTTTAAGAATTCAGAGATATCCTGGACTGCTGGGATCGCTGATTCAGGTATTGAATTAGAAATAGATGCAGGGTGATATCCATAGTTTGAATAGAAGGGGGATTGTCTTGTGGCCGAGTGTCTTGAGTTATTATAGGCAAATTCCGCCAAGGGTAAGAGTGATACCCAGTCCTCTTGAGAAAAGGATGTAAAACATTGAATATATTGTTCCAAGGTTTGATTGGTTCTCTCTGTCTGGCCGTTAGTCTGGGGGTGATAGGCAGAAAAGAGCGTGAGTCCCACTCTCAATTTCTCACAAAGGGCTCTCCAAACTTTTGAGGTGAACTGCACCCCTCGATCTGAAACGATGTTTCCTGGAACACCATGGAGCCTCACCACTTCTTTAATGAAGAGTTGGGCTGTTTCCCGCTGCAGATGGTACTCCTTTCAAGGCAATGAAGTGGGCCATTTTGGAAAATCGATCCACTATAACACATATGGCTGAATATCCTTCTGATGGAGGTAGCTCCATGATAAAATCCATCGATATCATCTTCCAGGGACGGTCAGGTACTGGTAGAGGCCTCAACCCCCAGGCTTGCTCTTATTGCCCTTATTCTGCATGCATGTGGGACAGGAGCTTACGCAGGCCTTGCAATCCTTCTCCCATTCAGGCCACCAGAACAGATGCTGTACTAAGTTTAGGGTCTTGTGGACCCCGAAATGTCCGGCCAGAGGATGATCATGGCATAGCCTTAAAATTGTCAGTTGGGTGGCTTCAGGTGAAACAATTCGGTCTCCTGACCATAGTAATCCTTCTCTGGAGGACAGGGTTACTCCTGAAGGAGAAGGAGCCCCAACAGATACCTGCTGAATCTGCGAAAAAAGATCAGGTTGCAGGTCTGTAGGTAATATGGAAGCTGAATCGAGAAAAGAAAAGCGCCCACCTGGCTTGTCAGGGTTTTAGCCGTCTTTAGGTATTCCAGATGTTTGTGATCAGTGTAGATTAGGATGGGATGTGCTGCACCTTCTAACAGGTATCTCCATTCTTCCAAGGCGGATTTGATGGCCAGTAATTCCCGATCTCCTACATCGTAATTTCTTTCTGCTGGGGATAATTTCCTGGAAAAGAAGGCAACAGGGTGAAGCAGACGTTTTAGACCTTGTTGCTGTCAGAGGACGGCCCCAACAGCACTTTCTGAAGCATCTACTTCTACCACAAAGGGTAGTACTGGGTCTGGATGGCTTAGTATGGGTGCTGATGTAAAGAGTCTCTTTAAAGTTTCAAAAGCACCTTGAGCTTCCGGTGTCCAAGGGAATCGGACCCCCTGTTTGGTCAGTTGTGTAATCTGTGTAATGATGGCCGAGAATCCTCTGATAAATCTTCTATAAAAATTGGCAAAGCCTATGAAGTGCTGAACTACTTTCTTATCAGCTGGTGCAGGCCATTCTAGTATGGCAGAAACTTTGAGGATCCATCTCGAAGCCTTCCGTGGATATAATTAGTCCCAGGAACTGGATGCTCTGGCTTTCAAACTGGCATTTCTCTTGTTTAGCATAAAGTCCATGCAGACGGAGGCGACCAAGGATCCTTTGCACATGACCCCGGTGAAGCTCGATGGATGCAGAAAAGATCAGAATATCGTTGAGATATACGATCACAAAAACGTCTAGAAAATCCCTGAAGATGTCATTCACCAGATGCTGGAAGGTTGCTGGAGCATTTCATAGCCCCAGGGGCATAACTAAATATTTGTAATGCCCAAATCTGGTACGGAAGGCTGTTTTCCACTTGTCCCCTTCTTTTATCTTTACGAGGTTGTAGTCTAGTTTGGTAAATATGGTTGCTGCTCTGAGCCTCTGAAAGAGTTCTGGGATTAGTGGCAGAGCATATCTATTCTTCACCGTGATATTGTTTAATTCCCGGTAGTCCATGGACAGAGGGAATGGTCTTTCTTTTCAACTAAAAAGATTCCTGCCCCGGCTGGAGAAGTAGACTGGCGGATGAACCCCTTTTTTAGATTATCAATATAATCCTTTAGTGCTTCCAACTCACGCTCTGACAGCGGGGAAATCCAACCGAAGGGGATCTCAGCTCCAGGTAGTAGCTCAATCGGGCAATCGTAAGGCCTGTGAGGTGGATGGCTGTCTGCACCACGTTTACTGAAGACGTTTAGGAAATCGTGATAAGCTGCCGGAACTAACTGGCCTACTTCGGTATCGTTTTCCATGCACAGCAGGGGCCTGGACGGAGCAGGAACTTGAGGGAAGCCGTGCTCATGGCAGTAGGCCAAGATAAAGTCCAGTTTACCGGATACCCACTTTATCCCAGAGTTATGGGCCTGTAGCCATGGAATCCCCAGGATAACAGGAAATAGTGGTGACGAAATAACATCTAGGCGTAATAGTTCCTTGTGCCCAGATGGAGATATAATCACGGGAAGTGGAATCGTTTCCTGTGTGACTGCCCCAGATTTAATGTTGGATCTGTTTGCCAGAAATACTGTCAGTCTCTGCATTTTGGCCCTTAAGGGTATCTGATGTTGCTGAACAAAAGTTGTGTCAATGAAGCAACTGCAGGCTCCAGAGTCAATAATAGCTGTTACTGGTAGAGGTCTTCCCGAAAGCTGAAATGAAACGGAGATGGTGAGCTGAGCAGGGTTGACAGCAGGCATTTTAGCAGGCAGGGTCATCAGAGACTTACTTGATTTTGCAGGGTAGTTTCGCACATAGTGCCTGGGTTCTCCACAGTAGAGGCATAAGTTGCCCTGTCGGCGGCGTTGCCGCTGTTCCGGAGTGAGTGGTTCATAGTAACCCAATTTGCATGGGTTCGGACCCAACAGAACTGGTTGATGCCATGCTTGTTGGAGGTGGTACCCTGGGCAGCATCCATGTGGGGTGAACTTGACCTGCGGATCTCTCCAGCCTTCATTCCCTGAGTTGGCGGTCAGTCTGAATAGTCAGCTTAATAAGTTCCTCCAAGGTATTTGGTACTCCAACTCAAGCTAACTCGTCTTTCAGGGGTTCGGTTAGACCTAAGCGAAATTGATAACATAGGGCAGCGTCATTCCAACTGGTATCAGCGCTCCAGCGCCTGAACTCGGTTACATAGTCCTCAGCTGCCCTACGACCTTGCTGGAGAGAGTGTAGCGCAGCTTCCGCAGACGCAGATCGTTGGGGGTCATCGTACAGTTGCGTCATAGCTTCAAAGAAACTGTCTAGGGAAGACAGTTTGGCATCTGCCTTTTCCATTAAATGATGGGCCCATGCTTGTGGCTCACTCTGGAGAAGGGAGATCACAAATTCCACTTTGGTTGTTTCTAGCGAGAAGGTACGAGAAGGCTCCGAATTTGTGGAGGTCGCCAGAAAATCTCTCGGGCGTAGGTACCCTAGGCTCAGGAGGCAACATCATCACAGTGGGACTTACCACGGCTCCTGGAGCGGCAGTTGGAAGGGGTGGAGCTGAGATGCTAGCAGTGGATGCCGGTGGAGATAGGGCCTGAAAATGATCCAGGTGGGTGTACCCCTCTTGAAGGCCCTTGACAGCTTGCGTTCGTGCCGCAATGTGTTGGCAAATTTCTTCCAGAGGAGAGGCCCTTCTCTCAGGCTCCGACATGGCCTTCTGGTACTGTCACGTACCTGGTTGGGGAGCCTGAGGTGGAAAGAGGGCGTTCTCTTACAACTCCCGCTCGAGGCCCCTGGAAGTGGGAACGGGTGCAGAGCCAGGAGTGGCAGGAGTGCCGTGTAGATCCTGAAGCTGTTGACAGGTAGCTGGGGACCCAGGGGATCTGGACACAAGCCAGGTGTGGATGCAGGAACATGGGTGTAGCAGGTGAGGCACCAGTCAGGATGCGGGTCTTAGGGCTGA